AATGCAGGACATTTCTGTTCCCGAATATTCTTATGAGATAACGAAAGTAGCTGTTGCCAGACATGAAAAGGAAACTGCACACAGAATCTCGCTTGAACCGGTACAAAACACAGTGGCTGAGAGAAGGAAATGCAGCCTTGCCAGAGAAAACTATGACTCATGACGCAGATCATTACCTCCATATATCTCAAGAGAAAATAGTCTGTAGAATCTGGCAAGGGAGCAGATGGGAATTTCCTGCTAATTTCTCCAGAGAAAGAGAGAACATCCTTTTCTGCATGGTTGTAGAAGGGAGAGGAACTGCTTGGTGAGAAGAGCAGCCCTTCTACACACAGTTTCGAGAGCAGGGGGCGGCGGGGGGGGCGCTGGGGCAAAGTCAGCAAGAACCCTTGGGACACAGAGCTTTTTGCTCCCTATGTCTCCAAAGTGCTAGGTAGTTGAATGAAAAATAACACATGAGAAGGCAGTAGACAATCCCAGGTAGCTCTCTGGTTCCAAATAGACTCTGCTGTTTATTATGTATGGACATGAGCAAATTTCTTGTCCTTACCGAAATGAGATAGAAATACTTTCTTCCAAGTATTCTCAGGAGGCTTAAATATGATGGTTTATGTTTCTAACCATGCAGGGTCCCTTGCAACACAGGTGTTCCTAAAATATGTAGCTGTTAGTGTTGTATTGGCATTATGCTATTATTGCAAATATTTGCATTATGGACATGTCACTTAAACATAAGTTGCCTTGATGATACTTCAAAATATTAAATATAAAATGACCATATGATCCAGCAATTCAGTTCTGGGTAGATACCTAAAGAAGTGAAAGCTGGCACTCAAACAGGTATTTGTGTACCTGTGTCTTAGAAGCTTTAGTCACAAGAGTCAAAGATGAAAGCAACTCAAGTGTCCTTCAGTGGTAAACAGATAGGCAAGATGTGATATATACCGCTAATAATTTTAAAGCCTTAAAAAGGAAGGAAATCCTGACATTGTAATGTGAATGAAATATATTGCTAAGTGAAATAAGCCAGTACAAAGGAACAAATTCTACTTTTATAAGATACCTAGTCAAATTCCTGGGCCCTCCCTGGTGGTGCAGCGGGTTAAAGCACAGC